GACAACAAGGACACATAAGGAGACAACAAGGACACATAAGGAGACAAAAAGGACACATAAGGAGACAAAAAGGACACATAAGGAGACAACAAGGACAAATAAGGAGACAACAAGGACACATAAGGAGACAACAAGGACACATAAGGAGACAACAAGGACTATAAGAAGACAACAAGGACACATAAGGAGACAACAAGGACACATAAGGAAAGGAAAAAGTTAGTGTCTATAAAAAGTTCCTTCCTGGATGTTTATATTTTGAATCATGATATAAATTACATGTTTTTGTTACAAAAATAAATAAAACAAAATAAGTGACTGTTAGGGGTGAAGTGTCTCCAAGCTCCCGACATCTCCAGAAGTTCTGTCAGATCATCACCAGGACATGAAAGAATATGGAACGTGTGCAGATCTACCAGGAGCGTGCGCTGTGACGTCGTTACAGAAACCACACGCGTACAGGAAATGAAGCTCCAACCGAGAAACGGCAGGACCGAACACTCACCCCGAGGTGCAGCGCCGTGAGGCCGTGGCTGTCGGCCATGTTGACGCTGGCCTCCCTCTCCAGCAGCAGCGACACGGCGTCCACGTGACCTCCTGCCACCGCCAGCATCAGAGGAGTTCTGCAGAGGAGGACACACGGTCAGCACGTGGACACAAAGACCAGAGGGCGTGCACAGACACAACTCACTGTCCCTGAGAGTCGGCAGCATCGATGAGGAGCGAGCTGTCCGATCCGTCCAGCAGGAGGCGCACGCACGTCGTATGACCGTTCATCACTTTGAGGAGAAACAGAGGGGTGAAGAGTTCTGTCACTGCAGCAGAAAATAAATCCACAACATCTGTAACCACTGCATCAGTGCGCAGGACGTATCTACGTCTCAAGGTCTTGGTTGAGGACTGTGGAACATCTTGAACAGGTTTGAGAAGATCTGAACTAGAGTCGATGTGTTTGTTGGGTGTACTGCGGCGGAGTTTATGTCCTCTGAAGACAAACTGAAGTGTAGACAAGTGAGACCCGATGAAGACACAATGGACACCGTGAAGATGAAACTAAAACCAGAACTCCTGATGAGACGCTCATCCGTTCTGTTCAGGGTCACAGGAAGCTGGTGCCTGGAGGTGCACGTACATTTATCGGTCCCTTCACACTGAAACAACAGACATGAAGTGAAAGCTACAAGATCATCTCCAGCAGCTTCATGTTCCTCTCACATCATCCGCTCGTCAGCTACACAGCAATACAGCAGAGGTTTGTGACCTTGGAGCTGGGCGATGAAAAGTGCACGTGATACTCGAACGAGTGTTGATGCACGTGTCCCAAGTTTCATTAAAGGATCTTGAACGGATCAGAAGATACGGGCGAGACAAGAGAAGGTTTACGGACATACACAGAACATACCATGACACGTCCGCCTTTGACCGGCGTACGAAAGGTGTAAAGTTCACGGGACTGCGGACAACGTTCCAGAATTTGGGCGCAAGAGGAAATGCCACCCCAGGTTGATCAGACGAATGGTCAAGATGGAAGAAAAGGAGCAAAAAGAAACATCTAGAGCTCTTCAAGTGGAACTTTAAGGTCACTTTCTGACTCGTGACGGGCTCCATGGAAGAAGGTCCGGGAGTCTGACAGGTCAACACCAAACATCCAGGCAGGAGTTCACCTCAACCCAAGTGACCCGTTTCTATCCCATCAGGTCATTTACTGGTGTCTTTATGTCCAGCAGTCAACGGATGAGGGGCGGGGGGCACTGGTCACCAGTCCACCTGTTCAATGTACTGACTCAAGACAACCAGCAGAGGGAGCTGTAGGCGATTAAACTGGACTTTTAGAGGTGGTGAAGAAAACAAACTAGTTCCAACCCTAATAATTTCACAAGAAGAAGAAGAAGGAGAAGAAGAAGAAGACACTGTGATAAGGTAACGTGCCAAAATGGACATGAGAACTTGACATAACAACGAGCAAAGGGAAAAACCAGAACGATTCGAGAAGGGGGTCTCTGCAGACCAAAAGTGGGCGTTTCTGGCGAATAGCCGTTTATGGGCGGCGAACACTGATTGGCTAACAGTATTTAATAGGCGTTTGTCGGCGGCGAACACTGATTGGCTGTGAGTAACCCTTAAAGTCACGAGGATTATTGATGAGGTAACGTTTCTTTGCGATGTTTGACAAAGAAATATGATTTATTGTACTTATAAAGTATGTTATGTTTTCACTTATGCATTTTATTGAAGTACGTTTATTGTAGGTCACGATAGTTTCGACCGTTCTCTCGTTGTTGTCGTAACGCACTGAGGTAAAGTGAGCCTCCACAGCAGCTCTCACTGTGCACGTTTACAACAACTGGGTGTTGCTTTTCAAAATAAAAGCTGAAAATAAAAGTTCTTAATACTTGAAAAATAAATATTTAAAAGCTGAGTATAACTGAAAAATATGAAAAACAAATAAATAAAAGTTGTTATTAGCTGAAAAATAAATAAATAAAAGCTGTTAATTATATCTATGTCTTTCTGCCATGTCAGGAACCACTCACTTCAGACTGACTCTAGAAGACCCCAAGATGTTGCCCAACAATGTTGACCAACATCTGATGTTGACTTTCAAAATAAATCACCTCCAAAGTTTAACATAGTTCATAGTAATAGTCAAAAGTTGCTGACCTTGTTGCAACATGAGTTAACACAAACATGAGTGTAAATTGTCAATGATTCAATAATGAGTAATAACTTATTCAATAATAAGTCTGTAATTTGTCAATAATAGTCAATAATTCATTCAAGAATAGATTATGGGTGTTTGGTATGGCTCAGTGGCTAAAATGGGTTGGATGTTAGAGAAATTACTTAATTTTCAATTACCTGAATGCACAAATTCCTTCATTTATAGTTAAACTTTAGGAAATCAACTTTTTTTTTCCTTGTGAAAAAAATATCAAAATTAACTTTAAAATCCAATCCAGGATTAAGTAACAACTAGCAACACCCTAACTGTACTATGTTCTGTGTTTCCAACAGATGCTACGATGACTTCTAAAAATGGATGTCCCAATAAACACAATAAAAAAATTCAATGATGCATCAAATGTTGTCTGAGTATGTTTGAAGGTAATAAAAAAATGTGAAATCTGGAAAACAAAGAGAATTCCTGAATCTGTCTTGTGTGCTTTGATGTGTACATAAGTTTATTGGAGGTCCTGAAACAACTTTTCTGAGAACACAAAGATTTTTATTTTACCTTTGGCCAAGATGTCAGTTTGAAATCAGGCTGCTTACTGCAAAACCAAGAGTTTTTTAAGACGGTCTTCATTTGTATCGTTTTGTCCACTATAAGCTAAATGTAATTTCTAAAATATGGATAAATCTGATCTCATCATGCAGCATGAGCAACTGGGTACAGGTGTGAGGACCAAAAGTCTGGTTATGTACTGACTCCTAAATGTGCTTGTTTTCTACTGAAACATGGAGTAGGGTTGACCTTTAAAATGTGAGACAGCTGAGGAAGTTAACCAGTAAACAGAAATACCTGCTCCAGGTGCAGAAATCTTACAGAAACTGACATCACTCATCTGCAGTGACTGCAGGTTGAACAAGACAATGTGAAGTTAAAGGAAACCTCCTTTGTCCCAAGGCCAGTTTAAGTATCGTTAATATTTTTCTTTCTTTATGAATCGATTGTAACTTTGTTCACATTTTTCAACAACCAAAATGGAATTTGTTTTTTAATGTTATGGCTAGGTATTAAAAAAAACCCTAACATTTAGCTCCCCCGTTACCCAGTTATGTTGCTCTTATTTTGAAATGTAACCGGAAGTTCTGTGTTAAGAGAGGCGAGAAAAGAAGATGTGGAGACGCCGCGGCAGTATACTGGAGCGATGTCGAACCGAGACGCCGCTAATGTCGAACCGGTTAACACCATAGACATAATATGCCTGTGGTTAACACAATCTGCCAATAACACCTTGTTTTTAGACATAATATGCCTGTGGTTAACACAATCTGCCAATAACACCTTGTTTTTAGACATAATATGTCTGTGGTTACGGCATTTCATTGTTCAGCCTTTTTTTCTATCGTCCAATCAGATGTGGCCGGCCAGACACGCCTATTTTTCTATCGTCCAATCAAATATGGCCGGCCAGACACGCCCATTTTTCTATCGTCCAATCAGGGGCAGCCGGCCAGACACGCCTATTTTCATATAGTCCAATCAGATATGACCGCCCAGATACGCCTTCAGAATTTGGCTGCAGAGATACCTACTTGAACGATTCCTTACTTGAGTCTGAAAAGATGAACCTGTTCGATGCGTTTTAACAACAGTTATTATTATTAATCTGATTATTCAGTTCAAAGATTTTGAAGATGGAGTTTCCACAGAGTTTTTATTTTTATTTGCATGTCGGGTTTGTTAGACAAAAGAGTGGAAATATTAAAAATATTCAGTATGTTTTTTAAACATGTTCACCTCTCTTCAGGAGAAGTTCCAGTTTCTGGTGTTCACGTGTTTCAGACTCGAGGATTAAAGTTTCTACGATTTGTGCAAAACTTGAGCTCAGTTTCTCTGGTGGCGTCAGCGTTTATTTGTTTTGCATTAATAAACAACATATGGTTGTCCACCACAGAGTCCACGCTTGGACACCATCAGTTTCAGAACCAACACGCAGGTCTTTACGCTGGAGAGAAAACCAAAGGATCTAAAGAAAACCGTGCACGTGTAGAACGTACACGGAGAGGCCACAGCAAGGTCTCAACCTGTAGCCGTACCGACTCCTTAAATCCAGGACGCCTCTGGACCTACCTGCCACGTGCACAGGTGTGCGTCCGTACTGCACATCTGTGGAGCGCGGTGACGCCCCCTGGCTGAGAAGAGTGTGGACGCAGTCAGGATGACCCCGCAGGGCTGCCAGGGCCAGAGGGGTCCGCCCTGCTTCGTCCCCCTGGTCCACCTCCCTGTGACCCTGCAGCAGGACTTCCAGAGCCTGGGCGTGGCCGTGGTACGCCTGAGGGCACAGAACCAACGTGCACGAAACATAACACGTCACAACAGAACCAACGAGCATGAAACATAACAAACAAGTCACAATCCATGTGGTGTCCGGGGGTTTGAACTCACGGCGAGGTGCAGCGGGCTCCTGGTTCTGGAAGACTCAGAATCTTCATCCTGACCATCGTCTCTGCTCAGAAGCTGCAACAAATCCAACATGAGACCCGTTTAGAGTCCACGACCCGCTTATAGAGTCCACGACCCGCTTATAGAGTCCACGACCCGCT